TGGTTGATGATCTTCACCTAGTCGAATCACGTGGTAATTCTGTCTGCCCCACTTTACTTCAACCAGAAGAGCAAATTTAGGCGAGGGTTCTCCGAACCCGCCTATTCACATAGTTCATACCCACCATAGTTCATACCCACCCACGGTCAGTCAAAATGACTATTTTGAACTGTAGGCATTAATCAGCAATTCTGCTGGTGACGGAGAGATAGAATCTAGGTCAGCGGAAGCCCCATGACCCCAAGATTCTTTCACCCCTTACGTCACGAACCCACGTAACCGAGGCCACATGGCAGTGCTATAGGCGGCCATACAATCACTCTGGTTCTTTTCTCTCCGCATTAAAGACTTAGACCAACACTACGGAAAGAGTGGGGTGGTTCGGGGGGGACCGGAGCCTATGGTGGGTATGAACTATGTGAATATGCGGGTTCGGAGAACCCTTGCCTAAATTCACTATGTTCAATTACCCACCATAGACTCCGATCAGTCAAAATGACTATTTTGAACTGTAGGCGAAAACACGTGCGTCTAAGGCCGCGTCTCGTAGCACAGTAGTGGCCCTGGCCAAGAGAGCAGGTGACACTAGGGGGTTTCGCACGTAGATGTGCGGTGGCCCACCTGTAAAAATGTCGCCTGGTCTAGGAGGCTGGTGCGTTCTGCCTCCAAGGTGTCCAGAGTCCTGGGCGCGCACAATAATGCGCTCAAGCAACTCTGCCCTCAGGGCTGGATGGGAAATAGTGGGAGAGCCGCGGCTGGGAACAGGGGTTCCCCGGAAGAGACGTGTTTGAATGCAAACATGCTTTCGTGTTTCCTCCTGCTTGCCCACCGAGGGGCCGCAGCGGAGACAGCTCGCTCCGACTGCGTCTGATCTACCTGGCCTGCCAGGGACGCAATTGCCCCGACAGTCCCTCGACCAAAGCCCTCAACTCAGAGGCAAACCTGGTGCCGTGCGAGGAAGGGTTCACAAAGGGACCCGCAACGGGCCCCACAGGAGGAAAGCCTCCAGGGGCACAGCCTTGCTGCTGGCGGTAAAATCGGGTAAACCACCGCCTGAAAAAACAGACTGTGAGGATGCCCTCTGATCAGCGAGGGGAGACTGAGAAAATATCGGTACCTCCACCAACGGGTCCACCAAGTCCATATTAGCACAAAAATGGCCACCAATTGGCCATGTTGAATCAGATTGTGAAAAAAATTGATGTGCATATGTATAATATTATGTATGATGTATGTGTAAAGTTTGATTGTGATTATTCCAAGCATGTTAAAGATATAAGTGCTTACCATCATGTGCCTCTAGGCTGGCATTGTTCTCATCACTGAGTGATGCACATTCATTTTGCCCTCTTTCCTGAGTTGGAGTTTGCAGTTGCTCTAATTGATTAAGCAGATCTTGATGCAGTTTGTCATTATTTTCTTTTAGTTCATCAATCTTTTTCTTATATGAGTCTTGAGATTCCTTCAAGGCCTTTTCTGTGAGTGACCATTCCAAATCAGGAGAAAAGAAGTAAAGAAAGAGTTCCAAAAATTTAATACACAAGTTAATGGCATGACATCTAGTCAGCCACAAAACCAGTCAGCCATTTTGACTTTGACTGATCTATAACTTATGTGTACAGTTGAAGTTGATTGAACTGGTTCAGAAATGGAGTAAATGTTTGATTTCAATGATTTTTCGGCTTAAATTGGATTTTGAATTAAATGCATGTGCATATGTGTGACATGATGTGAAAAATTCTTTTAAATTTGTAATCTTTAACATTAGATCAGATATCAGACATGTGCATGTCTGAGAAATACGGTAGAAAACATGAGTGGAAGAACTTAACAAAATCATTTTCATGCCAGACTGCCAGAGGACCAATCTTTGATTTTTGCAGCTTTTCTAGCTTGCCTGAAAATGGTTATTTCAAAGAAACGAAAATTATAAAAGTAAAACAAGTCATTGTCAATGACACGTCCCCGTTCTGTTCATATTTGAGTGACATATACATTCAAAGCAGATCATGACCGAAATCTCAGACTGATCCGAAATGCACCTGCATAACACATTGTACTGAATCTGAACAAAATCCATCCATGCATGACTGAGATCCGGTTCCGGAATTGTGAAATGCGTGATTTTGATGCATTTTCGGCCTTAAAATGGCCATCATTCAGCTATTGTTAAGCAGATCATGAAACAAATGCACATATCTATTTGTGACATGATGTACCATGTGTGTGTGAAGTTTGAACTTGATCAATCCAGACATGTCTCGAATACGGATCCAGAACTGAATTCTTTAAATCAAAATGGCCGCCAGTCAACCATTTCGAACTTGATCCGAAAAAAAAAATGACGCGCATCAAGGTCATAGCTATTATGTTTAATGTATGTACCAAATTTGAACAAAATCCGTCCATGCATAACTGAGATCCGGGTCCGGAATGGTGAAAATGTGTGATTTCAATGCATTTTCGGCCTTAAAGCGGCCGCCATTTGGCTATCGTTAATGAGATCATGAAACAAATGCACATACATATTTGTGACATAATGTACCTTGTGTGTGTGAAGTTTGAACTCGATCAATCCAGGCATGTCTCAGATACGGATCCAAAACTGAATTCTTTAAAACAAAATGACCGCCAGTCGGCCATTTCTAGCCCGATTCCCCCCAAAAAATGACGTGCATCAAGGTCCTATTATGTTTAATGTATGTACCAATGTTGAACAAAATCCGTCCATGCATAACTGAGATCCGGGTCCGGAATGGTGAAAATGTGCGATTTTGATGCATTTTCGGCCTCAAAATGGCCGCTATTCGGCTATCTTTAATCGGATCATGAAAAAAAATGCATGTGCATATGTCCCATATAATGTGTGATGTATGAGTGAAGTTTGAACTCATCAATCTTAGTTCATCAATCTTTTTCTTATATGAGTCTTGAGATTCCTTCAAGCCCTTTTCTGTGAGTGACCATTCCAAAAGAGGAGAAAAGAAGTAAAGAAAGAGTTCCAAAAATTTAATACACAAGTTATTGGCATGACATCTAGTCAGCCACAAAACCAGTCAGCCATTGACTTTGACTGATCTATAACTTATGTGTACAGTTGAAGTTGATTGAACTGGTTCAGAAATGGAGTAAATGTTTGATTTCAATGATTTTTCGGCTTAAATTGGATTTTGAATTAAATGCATGTGCATATGTGTGACATGATGTAAAAAGTTCTTTTAAAGTTGTAATCTTTAACATTAGATCAGATATCAGACATGTGAATGTCTGAGAAATACGGTAGACAACATGAGTGGAAGAACTTAACAAAATCATTGTCCACACCAGACTGCCAGGGGACGAATTAAAACACGCCCACCAAACTCACCCTGTTCTTCTTTCATTCGACTAGTCTTTCTATTCAGTTGTACAATTTCCGACTCTTTTTCTTTTATTTTCTCTTCCAAAGTGTCTTGCATGACAATCATTGATTTTTGCAGCTTTTCTAGCTTGCCTGAAAATGGTTATTTCAAAGAAACAAAAATTATAAAAGTAAAACAAGTCATTGTCAATGACACATCCCCGTGTCATTCATATTTGAGTGACATATACATTCAAAGCAGATCATGACCGAAATGCACCTGCATATGTACAACACATTGTACGCACGCATGCACGGATGCACGGACGCACACAGGGCAAAACATAAGTCCCCGTTTTCGGACTACATCCGCACAGGGACTAATTACGAAACTCACAATAGGCTCAACAAGCATTGAAAATGCACATTCTTCATTCTGTAATTAATGCCAAAGTTTATCACTAACAGATTGGCTATATAGTGATCAGTCATTGCTGGCAATGAGCTGTAAAAGATTACATGGTTCAATTTATTGTTAAGAATGTTAAGTAAATTTCCGTATGGATAATTATCATACTGAGTTTCAACATTACCAGTATGCATGATCTTGATACAAAATTTGAATGAAATTGCCAGACATCTTTGAAAAAATGTGTTTTAATACATTCACAAAGTTAAAGATTTTAAACAAAATGGTGGTCACAAAATAACATAACCTGCATGATAAATTGGCATGAACATGAATAAAAACTAAATGGCCACTTGTTGGCCATTTTTGTTTGACTCTTGGAAAAATATATGACAAGCACTTGTAACACAATATGTATGATCATGATACAAAGTTTGAAAGAATTTGCTCTGTTCATTGCCAAAAAATGGTTTAAGTATCAGAATTAGCAAATATGAGGAACAATATGGCCACCAGTCAGCCATATTTAATCAAATGGTATAGAAAATTTTTGCCTGAAAGCTTATTTTACCAAGCTTGAAAACACAGAATTAATTTTGCCTTTTTAAATTTTGCCCGAGTGACGTACCACAAGTTGGGCGCCATGAAAGAACATGTTCCACCAAAACCAGGTGGAGGACAAAACCCATTTACTCAAAACACAGACTTTTCGAAGACTTTTTTGTAGACTTTTCGAAGGCCTTCGACAGAGTAGAGACAAAGACTTTGGTATACCTTATTAAAAGAGGGAATAAGTGGTAAAATGTTCAAAATTTTGATAAGTATGTATTATAATGTTTTACAGATTATTTTGAGTGCCCAATTGGTGTTTACCAAGGCTGTATATTGAGCCTTTTTTTATTCTCCTTTTTTATCAACGAGCTGGTAACTGAACTGGAAACAACGGAACAACATGGGACTCAACTTTCCCTGCATGATACAGAATCATTTTGTTATTATTCGCGGACGATGTAACAATGTTCTCTGATTCAATAGTAGGGTTGCAACATTTATTTAATAAACTGAATTTATATTGCGACAAGTGGAAAATGGTAGTAAACATAGAAAAGACAAAGGTTATAGCTTTTAAAAATGGCAGTCGTCTATTGAATTCTGAGAAGTGGTACTATGGGGACCACCCGTAGAAGTGGTGTCATACTACAAATATCTAAGTATTGTATTTTCCTGCAGGTTGCAGTGGTCTTCGGCAACTAACGTTTTGGCCCAACAAGCAAAAAAAAAATTATTGTATTTAAAAACAAGCAACCTCTCGGCTGAGATAGCTCCGCTGTTAGCAATGTAAATTTCAACTAAAAAATTGAAGATATCTAAAATGAACAAATCGGAGAGAGGTCCATCTGTAGTACCTATAAGTATGATATCAAAGCAATCTGACTTGTACACAAAGTATTAAGGCAATCAGGCTTGTAGTTTGTAAGAAGTCAATTAAGTAAAAAATTGACATGGACAATGGACGGCGACGGGCAATTACTCATATGATATGACAAAGTCGATATGATATGACAAAGTCAAAAGCGGAGCTAAAAATTGATGTCAGTGGCCCATTAAAACTGATCATTCATCAGACACCCAACATGCACAACCTTCATACCAAGTTTGAAACAATCAACCTAAGTGTGTCCAGAAATAGACAATTTTAGTTCATTTTTAGGTAAAGAATAACAGTTATCACAGTCGGCAATTTTAGATCAGATGACAAAATTATTGTCTATGCATATGTATGCCATGATGTACTGTTAATATAAAATGTTTGAAGTGAATTGCTCAAAGCATGTACATTTTGTGTCTGGAAGAGAATTTGTCAAAAACAAAAAGGCCGCTAAATCAAAGTGAGAAAAATCAACACATGTCCAAGGTCTTGTTTCAGACATGTCAAAATATATCTAGTGAAATGGTCAGCAGTCGGCCATCTTGAGTCAAATTCACAAACTTAATTCAAAGTGGTGTGCATCAATTAAAACCACCCATAATTATTTTTCCTTCCACCAAGTTTGAAGTAAATCCCCCAATAAATACCCAAGAATTGGTTACAGACAAAATATCTGATTTTAGTGTATCTTTACAAAAATTGCTGCCAGTAGGTCATCTTTGATCCAATCAATAAATTATCACAAGTGTATACATACCAGACTAGGTGTTATGTTTGTGCAAGTTTTGAAGACAATCTGTCAAAGGTCGTCCGAGATGCAGCTTGGCACACACATACCCATGCATGTGTATATGTGTGACATGATGTATACAGTTCTTTTAAAGTTTACATCTTTAACATTAGATCAGATATCAGACATGTGCATGCCCAAGAAATACGCTAGACAACATGAGTGGAAGAACTTAACAAAATCATTTTCCACACCAGACTGCCAGAGGGCCAATAAAACATCCTCACCAAACTCACCGTGCAATCCTTCTATGATCAAGTCTTTCTCTTTTATTTTCTCTTCCGAAGTGGCTTGTATGTCAATCTGTGATTGTTCCAGCTTTTCTAGCTTGACTGAAAATTAAAAAATAGTTAAGTCACAATAATCATTCTGTATTTAATGCCAAAGTTTATCACTAGCCGATTGGGGGGGGGGGCTATATGGTGATCAGTCATTGCTGGCAATGAGCTGTAAAAGAATATTTGGTTAAATTTATTGTTAAGAAATGTTAAGTAAATTTTCGTATGGATAATTATCATACTGAGTTTAAACATTACCAGTATGCATGATCTTGATACAAAATTTGAATGAAATTGCCAGACATCTTTGAAAAAATGTGTTTGAATACATTCACTAACTTTAAGATTTTAAGCAAAATGGGAGTCACAAAATAACACAACCTGTATGATAAAATTGGCATGAACATGAATTAAAACTAAATGGCCACTAATTGGCCATTTTTGTTTGACTCTTGGAAAACAAGTCATTGAAAATGACACAGACCTCGTGAAATTTTAAAAAGTTCTCTTTGTGCTTGTCATATTAAAGCGGAGGGGTTGTCGCGAGCGTGTCCTTGAAACTTGAGTTCCAAGTGGCGTGTACAACAGATTGTTTATTTACATCAAAACACGTATTCCGTGTCGTAGTAATATGGCCAAAAATAAAAACAGCCGTTATTTGGCCATCTTTGATCTGATTATGAAACACACTGATATGTATGATGTATGTGCCAAATATGAGTGAAAATGGTACATAAATTGTGGAAATATAGTAGTAAGGCCAAAAATTCAGATGGCTGTCAATCGGCCATCCTTGACCAGATTTTGAAACAAATTGTCATGGACATGCATCCTAACATGTATAAAGTACATGTATGTGCCAAATTTGAATGAAAACTGACAGAGCACGTCCAAGATACCGCATAAAATAACAAAACAAGATGCCTGCCAGTCGACCATCTTTGATCCAATTGCGAAATAAATCATCATTGAAAAGGTATCCTAACATGTATAATCCATGTACCAAGTTTGAATGACAACTGACAAAGCATGTCCAAAATACAACATTTTCAAAAAACAAGATGGCTGCCAGTCAAATCGCTAAACCACTGCATGTGCATGTGTCCCACATAAGGTACTAGGCACATGCAAAGAATGAACGGAATCGGTCCACAGGATTCTGAAATATGACTCTGGACAGACTGACACACGGACGGACGGACAGACTCAGGAACTCACAGATGGTCGGGGACATGTATCCTAACATGTATGATCTATGTACTAAATTTGAATGAAAACTGACAAAGCATGTCCAAAATACGACATTTTCAAAAAACAAGATGGCTGCCAGTCGGCCATTTTTGATCCAATTGTGAACTAAATCGTCATGGACATGTATCCTAACATGTCTAATCTATGTACAAAGTTTGAATGAAAACTGACAAAGCATGTCCAAAAAACAACATTTTCAAAAAACAAGATGGCTGCCAGTCGGCCATTTTGAATTGAATCGCTAAACCACTGCATGTGCATATGTCCCACATAAAGTACTAGGCACATGCAAAGAATGAATGGAATCGGTCCAAGGGATTCTGAGATATGACTCTGGACATACGCACAGACGCACAGACGCACGGACGGAGACCGAATTATAAGTCCCTGTTTTCAGACTTCGTTCGAACGAGGACTAAAAATATGACAAGCACTTTGGTCAGATGACACAATTTTTATGTATGTGCCATGATGTACAATCTAGGTATAAAGTTTAAAGTGATTTGCTCAAATCATGTCAGAGGTAAACATTCATGTCTGGAATACAATGACAAAAACAAAATGGCCACTGGTAAACCATCTTGAGTTAATTCTTACACAAAGTTTGGAAAAATCATACAACATATGCTGGAGATCTGGCACTGAACATAACACCAAATGTCAACACTATGACCTGTTATTGTACCAGTTTGAACCAAATTGGTCAAAACATGTCCGAGAAATGACTCCAGATATGCAAAACATTGGCCATTTTAAGTCAAAATGCAAAAGGCACATCAGGCACCCAACATACTAGTATTAAAGCATCATACCAAGTTTGACACAAATTGGTCCAAAAATATATGAAAAAGTGTACACTTGTATTTAAAAACAAGCAGCCTCTCGGCTGAGATAGCTCCGCTGTTAGCAATGTACATTTCAATTAAAAGAATTGAAGATATCTAAATGAACAAATCTGAGAGAGGTCAACCTGTAGTACCTATATGTATAATATCAAATCAATCAGACTTGTACACCAAGTATTAAGGCAATCAGGCTTGTAGTTTGTAAGAAGTCAATTAAGTAAAAAATTGACGTGGACGATGGACGGCGACGGGCAATTACTCGTATGATATGACAAAGTCAAAAGCGGAGCTAAAAATTGATGTCAGTGGCCCATTAAAACTGATCATTCATCAGACACCCAACATGCACAACCTTCATACTAAGTTTGAAACAATCAACCTAAGTGTGTCCAGAAATAGACAATTTTAGTTCATTTTTAGGTAAAGAATAACAGTTATCACAGTCGGCAATTTTAGATCAGATGACAAAATTATTGTCTATGCATATGTATGCCATGATGTACTGTTAATTTAAAATTTTTGAAGTGAATTGCTCAAAGCATGTACATTTTGTGTCTGGAAGAGAATTTGTCAAAAACAAAAAGGCCGCTAAATCAAAGTGAGGAAAATCAACACATGTCCAAGATCTTGTTCCAGACATGTCAAAATATATCTAGTGAAATGGTCAGCAGTCGGCCATCTTGAGTCAAATTCACAAACTTAATTCAAAGTGGTGTGCATCAATTAAAACCACCCATAATTATTCTTCCTTCCACCAAGTTTGAAGTAAATCCCCCAATACATACCCAAGATCTGGTTACAGAAAAAATATCTGATTTTAGTGTATCTTTACAAAAATTGCTGCCAGTAGATCATCTTTGATCCAATCAATAAATTATCACAAGTGTATACATACCAGACTAGGTGTTAAGTTTGTGCAAGATTTGAAGAAAATCTGTCAAAGGTCGTCTGAGATGCAGCTCGACACACACACATGCATAGAGACTAAACTAAAAGTCTTGTTTTATACTTAGTCTGAACAATTAGGAATAATCAATAAATTTATGGTTCTTACTGGTGACAATAATCAGTACAGCTCACTCAGTTTTTTAAAGCAAAAAAATAATTAGGGCCAAAGCATAGTATAGCAATTAATATTACGAAGATTTGTTATATAAATATATATATACCATTCAAGAAATCGAAGTTGTAGAAGAATGTATCAGCAGCTAAGTTTCTGAGTTCTTTATCTTCACTTCCACGAATAGCATTATAGGCTGCAGAAAAATATCCACCCTTACGCATATTATTGCTGATTTCATCTGAAACATGAAGAAACAAATCACTGTCAATGACATAGTCCTCATCTTTATTTGGCTGAATTCACATTTGTGAACAGAAAAGGAAGAATCATGAATGACATTTTATTAAAACAAAAAAACCACTAAGGATAAAAGAGGAATTAGAGACAACAATGTCTAAACAAAATAAAATAACAGTTTGTTAAAATTCAACAAAACCATGACACAATTAAAAATTTAATTTTAAAATGGCCACCAGTCAGTCGGAAGCAGGCCCGTTGCCCCCCGGCCAGTCAGTCAAAGATCAACAAAACAATTCTGATTGGTAGCAGATCTTACAAGATGTGAATTTCATTTGAATAGGTAATTATTGTTACCATGATTGACCGCATAGATGGTGAAAAACCATATTTGACCACATTGATGGTGAATTACCATGATTGACCACATTGATGGTGAATTACCATGATTGACCACATTGATGGTGAATTACCATGATTGACCACATTGATGGTGATGTACCATGGTTGACCACATTGATGGTGAATTACCATGAGTGACCACATTGATAATCAGTTACAGCGGTTGACCACATTGATGGTGAATGACCATGATTGACAAAATTGATGGTGAGTTACCGTGGTTGACCACATTGATGGTGAATTACCATGATTGACCACATTGATGGTGAATTACCATGATTGACCACATTGATAATGAGTTACTGCGGTTGACCACATTGATGGTGAATTACCATGATTGACCACATTGATGGTGAATTACCACAGTTGACCACATTGATGGTGAATGACCATGATTGACGAAATTGATGGTGAGTTACCGTGGTTGACCACATTGATGGTGAATGACCATGATTGACGAAATTGATGGTGAGTTACCATGATTGACCACATTGATGGTGAGTTACCATGATTGACCACATTGATGGTGAATTACCATGATTGACCACATTGATAATGAGTTACCATGATTGACCACATTGATGGTGAATAACCATGATTGACGAAATTGATGGTGAGTTACCGTGGTTGACCACATTCATGGTGAGTTACCATGATTGACCACATTGATGGTGAATTACCATGATTGACCACATTGATGGTGAATTACCATGATTGACCACATTGATGGTGAATTACCACAGTTGACCACATTGATGGTGAATAACCATGATTGACGAAATTGATGGCGAGTTACCGTGGTTGACCACATTGATGGTGAATGACCATGATTGACGAAATTGATGGTGAGTTACCATGATTGACCACATTGATGGTGAGTTACCATGATTGACCACATTGATGGTGAATTACCATGATTGACCACATTGATGGTGAGTTACCATGATTGACCACATTCATGGTGAGTTACCATGATTGACGAAATTGATGGTGAGTTACCATGATTGACCACATTCATGGTGAGTTACCATGATTGACGAAATTGATGGTGAGTTACCGCGGTTGACCACATTGATGGTGAATTACCATGATTGACCACATTGATGGTGAATTACCACAGTTGACCACATTGATGGTGAATGACCATGATTGACGAAATTGATGGTGAGTTACTGTGGTTGACCACATTGATGGTGAATGACCATGATTGACGAAATTGATGGTGAGTTACCATGATTGACCACATTGATGGCGAGTTACCATGATTGACCACATTGATGGTGAATTACCATGATTGACCACATTGATAATGAGTTACCATGATTGACCACATTGATGGTGAATTACCATGATTGACCACATTGATGGTGAGTTACCATGATTGACCACATTCATGGTGAGTTACCATGATTGACCACATTCATGGTGAGTTACCATGATTGACCACATTCATGGTGAGTTACCATGATTGACCACATTCATGGTGAGTTACCATGATTGACCATGTTTTAAATTGTTAAATGACACTTGACTATGGTCAGTGACTATATGTTGTATAGCCCACCACATTGTTAAAATGAGACTGGACCATAATCATGATAGGTCAGTGACCCTGGTTGACCGAGTTTCATTATGTTCAGTGAGCAAGGTAGTTGATGGTTAGTACACAGGTGAACATGACCTTGGTTGGCTATCAACTACCAGGGTCATGCATGGTCATATGTTATAATGGTAGTTGATAATCAGGGACCAAGGTCAGCAAGTTCAGAAAAGATTCAAATGCCTGGTGAAATGTTATGATCGTCAATGCTAGCAGAGGTGTCAATCATCAGGAGACGCATAATAATGAACAAAGATGTGCTTGTTATAGTAAATGCAATGATCTACTTCCTGCAGTTAGTTGAATGTACCTTGCTTAAGTTTGGCAAAACGACTAGCACAAGAAAATGCATGCTTTCTGGTAATATCATCGTCTTTCTTGGCATGGTTCAGTGAAAATTTGATGCAGTCCAATATTTTACAAAGTGTGTCAATATCGGCCTGTACCAAACCAACATGATCATTGTGCTCCTCATGAGGCCCCTTACATATCGAGGGATGGCAGCATACAATGTCTGCAATAGGAAAATTGTGAAATTACTCTTTAATGCTTTGTTTTTCATGTACATGTATGACAAATATAAATTACACTTTCGTTGACAATTAAACACACTGTATAATATGTTATGTGCCAGATACCATTCGCCGTATTTTTATTTAGTCTGAATAATAACACACAATTTTTGTCTATTTCTTAAGGTTTCCTTGTAACATTGCCTTCTGGGGAATAGGCGAATGTTAATATAATTAATACCTGTACTTGATTTGAAGTTGCAGTCACTTAATTTGTGCAGTTAGTTTTCAAGTTGGCACTCTGCTGTTATGAAGCAACTTCAAATAATTCATATAATGTCATGGAAAAGTACACATTTTGAATCAGAACATGAAACAAATGCATGTCAGGCATAGGTGTAGGTGATTGTCTGTTGTCGTTCAGTGTCATTTTTTTTTCAAATCAATTCTTGTTGATAACTGTTAACTTTGCACATGTTCAATGTACATACACATACCTAGGTCTTCAAGTAAGACATCAAATATTTGGACTCCATACTTTAAAAACACTTTTCTTGACTCCATTCCATTATCTAAACTAAAATAATTCAGCATAAAAGCCAGCAATTTCTGATTTTTCATGACTTTCTCCAGTCTGTCCTTCGGTTCTGAAAAATTAGATGCAGGCTATGAATTTTATGAAGTGTGCTAGATATAATACTGACATGGTACACAATATATAAATATGTATGGCCATAGGACTGAAACTAGCATTCCATTTTGAAACTTGCATACCAATACTATTATTAATATTAATATTATTCAAACTTGTTAAGGCTTACATTTGAGTTTATGCAAATTAGTCATGTTCAACTGCCAATGTGATCAAAGACAATTTGAGGCCATTCAGTTATTACAGATTAACACCAAGACCTATTGTTTGTATGCAGATTAGTAAAACGCCATGTAGATTTACCTAACTTTGCAATGTACTTGACCATTGAAGATTTTAAATACAGCCAGATGCTATGGTTTAAACACATACAAAACATTACAGTAACATGTTCACAATAAACACAAGATGATCTCTAGAAATAAAATTTTTGTTGATGACTTCAAAATATGATGTCATAACTCATTTCAATCCAGAAATGCCATCAAATATGTAACACTTTCTTTATCCCATTACCAACTTTCTTTTCTTTTATAGTAGTAGTTATCAAAACTAATCTTTATTGTTATTAACTGATAGAAACTTGAAGTCATGTGATTCAAGTGCTGTAAAATGACCAGTTTTCACTAGGTTTAAATTTCTCTGATTTATCATTTCAGGCATATTCAATGGGTTTTAAATTCACACGGTTTTTTCATTTAGATAATGTGTTCTATGCTAAATTTTACATATTCACTGGGTTTTAATTTAGCGCATTTTCCAGTCAGCGAAATAAGCACAATTAAAATCCAGTGAATAATTAACCCTTTTACAGTAAGTATTGAATTACATCAGACTCTGTTTTATGTAATTTACTCAGGTCAGTGTTGTTGCAGTTACATTAACTTGAGAATAATATTCATCATGATGAAAGATTTAGACATTTCACTTGAAATCAGATACAGATGTGTTGAAGATAAAAAATATGGTACCTATAAAGGTATTTTCTTTCAGTCTGTTCAATTTTTTGGTTTGGAACATACAAGTACATTTTATTGGTAAAACTTACTCAGTTTAGAAAACTCAACTCCAATACTTTGTAACAGAGCGTCCAAAGCAAAGCCCTCCTTTTTTTCATCAATCTTTCCACTAAAATCTTTTAAGAAAGTGATGATATTTTCATATCCATCTTCTGGGATAACTATAATGATTGAAATATAACTTTATATATTTATATTAGATTCAAAGGCTTATGATATGATTACCATAACATAGTCATGCATCACAATAACAATTTGTCTTCGGTTTTAATAAAACTTTCGTACACAAAAACACATTTCAACACGTCAACAACCGTATCACTGGCATGCCTGATCACATTCAAATCAACTTGGTATTAAAATTGCAAACTTACAAACACAATATGTCATTTTGTTACATGAACCAAATCAATAAGTGGCACAACACAGTCTATTTTACTTTTACCCTTAACTTTAAAGTTAGAATACTGAACATGTCAAATCGGGAAAATTACAGGGTGGGCTTATACTCTGGGACCACCGCAGAAAAGATAATTTGGGGGGAGGGTTAAAATTGTAATCATCTTCCCACCCATGAAAAATTATAAAAATTACATCTTTTGTTCATAGTGCCGGTCTCTGAAAAATATTACATCATGATTTGACCTGAAACAACTTCCTTTGACCTAGCAGGTCATGTCTTTCGTTAACCAATCAAAATGCTATATCGTACAGACAAAGTTTTCTGATTATTGATGAAGTAATTTTGTCAATGCAATGCGTAAGTGAATTACCTCAATGTTAAAATGCGATCTGTTAACACTGATTCCA